TGTATTATTAAACTTACAATATTTTAACTTTACGCTTTTTACTTCAAACTATAAAAACTGTTTTTAAAAACTTATTTTTTTTATATTTGAAAGTACATATGTATATATAGGCTAAGAGCAGGAGTCGCAATTACTGTTATTTTAAAAATATATATTTAAAAATAGCACAAATCGTTCGTTTTCATATGTAAAGAGATTTTAAATATGTAAATAATTATCTTATCAGCTTACCAAATAATAAAAAAAGGTTGTTCTTAATAGGCGATTTTACGATGAAATCGACTTCCGAACTTTACTAGGTGAAAATGTGCTTAGAAAAAATTTGTCCGAAAAAATTGTTTTACCTATTGTTTTTCAACCTTATCACCAACATTAGTAAGGAATTGTCAAAAGAATTGTCAAATAATCTCAAATTGAACGATCAATGACATATTTTTTTTAAATATTTTTTTTTTTAAATAGTTTTGCTTCATTTCGTGTTAATATGACATAATAACTTCGAAGCAGAAATGAGACTAAAATTGAGAGGAGCAGTAGCAAAAATCCGAGAAAATTCAAGCGCTTTATATAGATTAAAATTTTTTTTTTAATACGTTGCCGATTGTGTGTCGAAGTTGAAGAGCGTTATTTTGGAAATCGGCTTTAATAAATTAATTTAATCTAATTAGTGTCTTATTTTTTATTGATCCTAAAAATAAAGCAAAATAACCATATTCATAAATAAAAACTATTTTTTTGTAGTAGATTTTAGTTCATTTAATTAGTTTTATGACGTCATATCTATTTTGTTTTCCAAAAAAACAATTTAAAAAAATGTGTCACTTACAACGGAATTGTGAAAATTTTGGAGACGGGCAAAAATTGATGTGCTCTTAATGAATTATAAAATAAAATAATATATAATATATAATAATAATATATAATATATAATAATAATATATAAAATAAAATAATAATATAAAAAAAAATAGATAAAGTCCCACAACATGACTCCTAGAATGTCTGCCGGCTAAATTAATAATATTTCGGACATTATTTGTAACAAAGCTATTTTATATATATTATGTCAAGATCAATTCTCTTAATAAATATTTCAAAATAGAAAATGATTTGAAGCTTTTCATTAAATAAATTAGTTAAATTCTAATCTATTAAAGACCACTCTATCAAATTATGTGGCACTACTATTAAGTCTCCGACTTACAGAGTATTTAAACGTTTTATTAAGTCTGCTTCAAACGACTTTTCAAGTCAAATTTACTTTATTGTCTTCTCAGACTGTTTGTTACAGAGTTTATATAGTTTAGCCAGAAGATAATTTTTATTATACATCCTCAGGCCTCTAAAGACTTATATTATACTTTGATACCAAAAGTTTAATTTGTTTTCAAGTGAGGATGTGTATTTGTTAATTTTCAAGCTGGATCGTCTCCACGAATTTATGTCCTATTAATATCGCATAAGTTACTTTTAGATCAATATAAAGTAAAATAAATATTCTTAACCAAAAAGTCTATCTACAAAAAATTTTTTTTAGGCGCAGGACCGATATATATCTGAAAGTTTACACCTAAGTATTGGCAACTTCTTAACTCTTTCTATTTTGGCCTGATTCTAGATTATCATGGCGAGCAAAATAAGGCTAATCTGATTTGGAAGTCGGCAGCATATTCGCTTCTGGCCTCGGAGAACATGTTGCACCAGTTAGGCCTCGCCGGCCTTCTGGACGATGAGATTGAAAAGAATCGAGAATGCATCTGTAATTGTTCTCCCTTATGCACTATAACGTGCTTCTGCGCAGATAACTAGTAAGTAAAATGTAATATTCTAACTCTCGCTTCGCCTAGATACATATCTGTAGCAAAATATTATATGAATGTGTTTAATACTTTCTTACTATATTTAAATACTAGCGACTCACCTTCGGTTCGCTCGGGTTCGTCCCTAGGTTGATTCCCTATACAAACTTTCATACCTATTTTCACCTCCTTAAGGGATGATTTCCGGGATAAAAAGTATCCTATGTCCCTCCCCGGGTCTCAAACTATCTTCTTACCAAATTTCATTTAAATCGGTTCCGTAGATCCAGAGATTATCCCCTACAACGTCAAAAACTCACAATTCACAAACTTTACCTCTTTATAATATTAGTATAGATATTTAACTCACATGTAATAAAATTCTAAGAAACAGAACAATTACGAGTGAAACAATTTCAATGGCCAAAAGATACAAACAATATTTTCTGCTTCATCAAAGCGTGGGTGAAGTTGAATTGTTTACTGTACTACTTAGGTAATTAAAATCTTTTCATCAATTAATCGCAATAAAAGTTCGTGCGTTTGGAAAACTGTATATGAATCAAACGCTAACTTTAGTGATTGTGGACTATCTGCTTATATTAGTATTTGACCATGAACGAAATCGTATGCTAATGATTGTAGATAGATATAATATATATTTATATATATATATATTTTATTTTTATATATATTTTTTATTTTTATATATATATATATATATATATTTTATAACAAGAAATTTTATAAAGAAACGACAAACCCTATATTCTCTACGTTATATTTCTGTGATATTTAACAACTATCTCGTTGTTGCCAAGGCAGAAATGACGGTACCGTTTGCAAAGGGCACAAAGGAAAGTTGCCTTTGGTTAATTTCATAAAATTACTATGAATCTGTTTCAGAACTCCTATTTCTAGCTCACAGTAAACACAAACAACAATATTAATTAACTTAGCTATATAATAGTTAACAATAATATGCCTCTATTTCTGTAATGAATTACCAAGTTTTGGATTTTTTCTATTTTTTTTTAATCTTTATTCCCAAGGTGTAAAATGTCTATATTTTTTATTTTAATTTTGTAAAAGAAATATCGCTCAAACGGTCTCTTTTGTAGGTCTTAAAAATAACAGTCTAATTTATTTGGATTCACGTTGAATGACTCCCTTGTTAGAAAGATAAAAGTCGAATTACCCTGTCACCATTTTCAATTTGATTATGTAAATTTTAATTTATTTTGTTTATAAGTACCTAAAAAATATATATGTAACAATGTTAATTTAAGTGATTATAAACAAGTTACCGATTAAGTTAAAATAAAATGTATAGCTTGAATAATGTAGAGCCAGTAATCGAACCAACTACGAGTATAAAAGCAAAAAAAAAATTGTGATAAAAAAATCGTTTTATTGCACTAATCGATAGAGTTTAATGTTAGGATAAAATCGCTCAAATTAACATTCTATCTTAATTTTACAGAAAATTATGATAAAATAAAAATATCAAATGTTGTGAAAAGGAAACATTCATTTATTTTTCAAAATTAACCACTTTAAAAAAAAAGTTTAGTTGAGCCGATAATCGAACTTGCTAATAACGCGAAAAGTACACCGATACTGTTTTATCTGGGTCTATCTATGGTGAGGATAAAATCACTCGAATAAACATCGCATCTTACAATTAATGAACATTATGAAATCTCACAACTCTACTTTGTTTTCGCGATATTTCATAATAAAGTAAGCTTTAAAAATACTATATATATATATATATATTGAAACTAGATATTTTCATTTTATTGTACTTTACTTACATGTCTCATTCGTTTGTTTTACGATGTTAACTAAAGTCAATATTTACAAATTGTAAGATTTCATTGTTTTCTGGAATTTTAAGATACACAGTTTGCTCTAGTGATTTTTTATCCTTACACACATTCTATCGATTTTATTTTTTTGAATGTTTAGTTATTTCAATTACCAACCAGGTCAGGTAAAATTAAAAAAATTATATATATATATATATATATATATATATATATATATATATATATATATATTTAAAATAAAAAAAAACTTTCATTTGCCTAAGACTGATGATATCTTTAATATTTGAGGTACTTTTCTTACATGCTACGTTCGTTTGTTCCACCCCGTTTTGGTCAGTTTTGTTGTATACTTAGCACTGAAATATTTTTAATATTCTCTGTTGTCTGAAATGCTAAAAACTTTTTAAGAAGTCTTAACAAAAAATTATTTTATTTATGGACTCACTTAAAACACAAATTCAGTTAATTTTCCTTTTCAGCTATGAGAGCACTCGTCCTTGATACCCATCGGCTAAGCTTAGCGGTGCTTCTGAAGTCAATTTCGAGTAGGTACCTACAAACATTTTAAGCAGATTTAGAGATATGTAATTATATATAATTATATATCTCAGTGGCGATGGGTCCATACAAGACGTTTTACCTAAAATTGTATTTTGCTATAACTTTACATACATTTAATTTTTAAATATATAAATGTGCTTTTTGAAATATATGTATAATAAAAGCTTTATTTCTTTTTGCATTAATACGTATATAAAAATTGTTTATCAATGTTTTTTTGTGTTTATTTTTGAAACGGCTTACGTCTGCTAAAATTTCACCCTTCGATATATATATATATGTTTATGTTTTTTTTAGGCAGTGGTAGCCCAGTGGTAACGCGCTCGCTTAGGAAACCGTGTGAAACGAGTTCAAATCCCGGGTCTCGCACCTCTGATATTGTCATGTGCGAATCATTTCTTACATGATTACCACTTGTCTTACGGTGAAGGAAAATATCGTGAGGAAACCTGCATGTCTGAGAGAACCTAACAAGTTTTCGAAAGACATGTGAAGTCCGCCAACCCGCACTTGGCCAGCGTGGTGGACTATAGCCTGATTCCCCTCGTACTGAAGGGAGGCCCGTGTCCAGCAGTGGGACGTTAAAAAGGGCTGAATACAATATAAGTAAATCAGAGTTTAAGAACAGTAAAAAAATATACAATACCTCTTGTCTAGTTTGCAAATGAAAATATCACTAATGCAAAAATAATAAAAATTGAACCATTTATCGCTGTCTTTTTAGCTCTTGCTTAAAGTTTTTTAGGCAAGGTTTATTCATACAAAGTTATAAAATATGATAAAAATCTGTATTTTACTATTTTATTTACAAAAGTGTTGTTAAGTAGGTCAAATTATTCCTGTATTTTCCATTTTTAGGTATATTTCTGTGGTTCTCTGAGCTTAATTGGGTCATGAAAGAATTATCAAAAGCGTCGAACTGAATTCCAAGTGCGGCATCTAATGAAATTTACTTAATACGTTTCAATTTTTTTGCATGTTGTTTCTTTAACATGTTGTTTGTACGCTGCATTTAAACCGCAAGTTCATAAGCGCTGTGACTTTTTATTTAAAAATTTAGACAGAAATTCGTTTGAAGGTGAAATCTTTTTGAGTTGTTTAAATAATTTTATCTATTGCAAAACATGTTTTTACTTATCTTTACTCAAATTTTTAATTTCTTCTATATGATAATAATATTGTTTGTATTTAACCATGATTTGACAATTATTTACTGTCCTACGAAAATTCCAGGAAAGATGAGTTAAATATTGTTCTAATGAGTAATGAGACTAGTTCAATTTTAAAAGAATCTGTTATATTTAGGATCCTGTGGTCGATTGTCAATTAGGATAAATATTTCCCTACCGTCGATTCGCGTTGATTCTTATTTATCATACCTATAGGAGATATTGATTGATGTTCTCCTGACCGATTCCGTTCACGGCGGCCAATCTCATTGAGACTAGCCAACTGCGCAGGAGATATTATAGTGCACAAGTGTACGCGCAGACACAACGTGCACTCTCTATTCCTGTCACTCTCATATTCTGGTGGGACGACCATTCGACACGACCAGTGAGAGTTAAGGCGCAGGACCGACGGCTTTACGTGCTCTCCGAGGCACGGGAGTGAAACACCGTCAACTTCCCAACTCCGGCTGTTACTGAGCTTACTATACAGAAAGACACCATAACAAAACTTGGCCCGACCCCCGGACTCGAACCCAGGACCTCCGGGTGTGCAGCCGTACATGCTAGCCACTACACCACCAAGGCAGTATAGGAGATATAACACTAGGTATATCTTCTAACACATTTAGGTACTGTTTCCTAAAACAATCATTTAATTCCTGATAGATTTTTGAAAGACAAATTTTAATACTTACTTCAAACGCTTATTTTCTTAACATGCCTTAACTCATAAACCAATATTTCTCTCTGATTTTCAAATGGGTAATGAATATAACAGTAATTATAACTTAGTTTATAAACCCATTTGAGGTAAAGCGAATAAAGTAATATTTAGTTTGAGTGCCTAATTATTTACATAATAATAATTTTATTACTTACCTTAAATTTTAGCTACCAGAGATTATTTATATATTATATTGTACAATATAAATATGTTTTTATCCTCGCAGTTTACCGGTAGGTAGTATCTAAAAAGCTCACATAAAAACCGTGTAGTTTACAAAATTGGGAAAATGCCAAGAACACCGATTCCGGAAGCTCTAGCCGACGTAGCGATTATGCACATCAGGTAATTTGGACGTTACATCTGACCTCGACCTAAAAGACAATCGAGGTGCCAGAATTATTTTTAACTATGAGAATTAAAATCTTAAAATTATACTTATAAAGGAAAAGTAGAAGTTTATATAAAAATATACATAATAAACCAACTTAAGCTTACGCGGTATTTTATTTATCAGTTCATCACAGATTACAATCATGCTCCTATTGTTCCGTAACAACTACGAAGACTACGAAGTCCCAAGTCGAAGTTCAAGGACAGAGATAGATAGGCTAAATATATAAACACTATTGTTTTGGTTACTACCCTACGTAAATATAAAGTTATGTTATTTTAAATCAAAATACCACTTGATAGACAATATGTTTTGTTGTGCATATGTACGTACGAGTATGTATGTACCTATCCATGTATAACGTATATAAGCATCTTGTCATACGAAATTAGTGCTGTAAAACTATTTTCATTACATTATTTTATATGCAACGTTTTAACGTTTAGTATCGATTTCTCGGAGATGAGATATTTTCCTGCAGTAAAAAGTATCTTATATGTTGACCCCGATAACCAGCTATCATCGTACCAAATTTCATTAAAATCCCTCCTGTGGTTTTTCCGTGATGCGGTAACAGACAGACAGACAGACAAAAAATCTAAAATCTATAAACTCGGCCTCTGTATCCATAATAATGTCAACTTGAATAAGATTTTCTAAAAAATATTTAATGTACAGATTCGGCTCAGTTAGAGTTTTATTATATGTACATATTTCATGTGAAAATATATTAAAAAATAAATAAAACTAAAATAATTTTATGATTTTGAGATATTTCATAATAGAGATGTATGCTATTTCGTGATAATATGCTTTAAAAAGTAGGTGAAACTAAATCTTTTTTATAGTTAAATATTTCATCTTGTAAAATGAAACCCGTAGTTACAATTATAAAAGGGGTCTAAATTGTACGATGAACCACGCGGGTACTATTGTCTCATGCCCTACTTTTTACAATACATGGGAGAAAGCTCAGTTGTATATCATATTCTACAACCGAGGCTTAGCCATGGCTTAATCCGAAATTGCTAGCCGAACCGAGCAGTATTTGAATTTGTTTCGACTTTAGGCTCTAGCAATTATAAGATGATCCTTGATTTCTGAGCAATTTTGTGAACGAAATACATATACCTTTTTTATTTCATGTTATATAATAAATAAGATGTAGCTGTAAAATAAAATCTGTTCACATATAATAAAATTCTAACTAAGTCAATCTGTACATTAAATATTTTTTAGAAAATCTTATTGAAATAGACATTATTATCGATACAGAGGCCGAATCTATAGTTTTTAGAATTTTCGTCTGTCTGTCTGTCTGTCCGTCCGTCCGTCTGTCTGTCTGTCTGTTACCGCATCACAGCAAAACTACTGGATGGATTACGTAGCTTTAATTCCAAAAAAAATGAATGTACAGATATGACCCTTCTATGAGATTGGATTATATGAGATTACTCTTTACAAAACTAAACAAACAAAACAGAAGTATAGACAGACTATAAATGTTATTGTTAAAACAAAAAGTGCAATATTACTAAGTCAAATATGAGATTAACAGGGAACCTTTGTGGCATTGTCAATCATCGCCATTATTTACCAATCATGCGGTGCGCAATGAAAATCTAATATACTCTCGTGAGCAAAAAAATCGACTCAGGACGCACGCTTGCGGTTAAAAAGCTCTAGCAAAAAATCGGAAGCTTTTATTATATTTCTGATTTTAACATCTCAAAGTTCTTTGTTTTAGCTTTAAAATGAGTGGTCTATGTTGTTATTAAAAAATGTTTTCTGGTAAAGAAAAAATATTGAATGAGATGGAGTCTTAAGCAATAAAAAAAGTGATGGTTGACGGTAAAGAAAATACCACGTAAAATTCGTCAAAACAATAATTTAATTAAAATATTCTTTTTAATATTTTGTGTTGCCCCCCCTGGCCCTAATAACAGCTTCCAATCGCTTTTTCATGGATCGAATAAGTTTCCTCACTCGATCTTGTTCGATGCTATTCCATTCGTCGATTAGCGCTGCTTTGAGGTCCGCCATCGTATCTGGTGCAGGATTTCTAGCCCAAACTTTTCTTTTAAGATCATCCCACAAATGCTCAATAGGATTTAAGTCCGGGCTACGCGCTGGCCAGTCCATAGCGGCAATTGCGACCTCCTGTAAATACTGCCGGACGGAACTTGCAGTATGTGGACGGGCATTGTCGTGCATTAGGACGAAGTTTTCGCCAATGAAACCGGCGTAGGGAACGACGTGATCCTCTAAAATCTCTTCGATGTATCGGATCGCCGTCAATCCTCCCATTCGACCGCCAGTTTCAATAAAAACCAACTCGGTTTTTGCCTCGCTTGAAATGCCGGCCCACACCATCCAGGAACCTCCTCCAAAAGCAACATTTTCTTTGATACAGCACTGCGCGAATCTTTCCCCAGGTCTTCTGTAGACTCGTCCTCTTCTATCACTACCATGCAAGCACACTCTACTTTCGTCTGAGAAGATAACGGTGCTCCATTGTTCGTCGGTCCAATCAACATGTTCTCTAGCAAAACGTAGGCGGGCTGCTCGGTGGTCTGGGGTTAATTTGGGGCCAGTAGCTGGCCTTTTTGGCTCAAGCCTAGCTGCCTTAAGTCGTCTTCTGACTGTCCAGCCACTCACAGCTACTCCTCACGTTTCTCTGAGCTCTTGTTGGACTTGAACGCCAGTGAGGGCCCGATTTCTTAACGATGTGCTGACAATAAATCGGTCATCTCTCTCTGATGTGCACCTTTTTCTACCGGAACCGCGTCTTCGATTAAAGCCACCAGTCTTCTGGTAACGACGGTAAACTCTGGAAATAGCAGACTGGCTCATGTTCAGTGCACGTGCCACTTCACGCTGACTCTGGCCTTGTCGCAATAGGGTGATCGCTTGAGCTGCTAAATCGCTTTTTGTGTCCATTTTCAGGTAGAATTCTTGATTGTTGATAACGGAGATGTGTATCGGTTGACGTTTGACGGCTAACTTATAAGGGTGGGTCAGGTAGATAACCTTTTATATGGGTCAGTAACCCTTAATTAGCACTATTGTAAACAAGCGTAAAAAGGGTGGTTACTGATCACAACATATTGTTGGGTTGTGTGAGCAATAAACCTTACAATATTTTATATCATTTTGAAGCTAATACTAGCAGCTTTAAGATTTTACTATGAAAAAAATATATTTTAGATGGTAGGTGCCTATCGGTTGCTAGGGTGTGTAGGGTGGCTCGAGGGTATGGGGTTGAGATGCGCTGTCGAGGAAAAGAAATCCTTGCGCAATAATCTAGACGAATTTCACACCAGGGTCGGCGACACGGCGGCAGCCAGCCGGCTTCATGACTGTCCAGCGGGGTCATTGACCTGTGCGTAGACAACTCGTACGCATGATTCATCGCAGCAACTAGGCAAGACTCATTAGTGCGAAATTGTTTACTTATTTTGTGCCTTAAGGCGTTGCAATAACAGTGCGTTTTTTTTATACTAAAAATGAATACGGCAAAAAAGTGTGCAGGTTGTTGTGAACTTTTAAGAAAGGATTATTTATTATGTCACAAATGCAATGATTATTATGATCTTTTGTGCGCTAATTTAACGCCAAAAAAATTTAGTCAAATGAGTAAAGAACATAAAAACAGTTGGACTTGTCAAGCATGTCTAAGTAAAATACCTAAACGAGACAACACAAATACACCTCTACGTGGTGGAACAATACATACCTCGCATGGCCTCTCACCTCCGGTTTCTTCTAATGTTACCAATCGTAATAAAAATAGAGAACATCGGCGTAATGAACAGTTAACTAACCCATTGAATGAAGACTTGAATCTGATCCCAGCATCGTTGGAGCCAGAAGTTATAAATAAACTTAATTGTACGACATGTAGTTTATCCAAGGATGAAATAAAGTCTTTAGTAAGGGATGAAATGAAATCGGTGTTAGTTGACTTCCAAGCAAGTCTTTTCAAGAATTTGGACGCAAAAAATAAAGATGTCATTGAGCAAATAGAGCAAATAACATTGTCTTTGAATTTTATAGAAGAAAAATATGAGCAAATACGAATAGATGTTAATAATAAATTTGAGTCGTTAAGGAAGTTGGAAGCTGAAAATATAGTTCTTAAAAAAACTGTCACTGATCTCAGTTCCAGGCTTGTTCAAATTGAGCAACATTCGAGAGCTACTAATGTGGAGTTTCACTGTATACCAGAACACAAGTCGGAAAATCTAGTCACGGTTATTAAACAAATAGCAAATGTTACAAATTATCCGTTGAATGAAAATGACATTCATTTATGTACCAGAATTTCTAAATTGGATAAATCTAGTACTAGGCCACGCTCTGTTCTCGTGAAATTCTCAAGTCCAAGAGTCCGTGATGGTTTTTTGGCTTCTACAATATCGTTCAACAAAAAAGCGAAAGACAA